ACCCCAAGCTAGCATCACACTGAATTGGGAAAAACTGAAAGCCCCTCCTTTACCACGTGTAACAAGACAAGGATGTCTACTTTCACCACTCTTACTCAACACAGTACTGGAATTTCTAGCCAGAGCAATTAGACAAGAGAAAAAGTTAAAGGGCATTCAAATTAGAAAGGATAAATTCAAGTTAGCCTTGTTCACAGACAACATGATCTTACATCTAGAACAACCAAAAGACTCCAACAAAAACTGTTAAACTGATAAATTCAGTCAAGTCACAGAATACAAAATCGACAGACAAAAATCAGTAGCACTTCTATACGCCAACAGCAAACATCTGAAAATAAATAAAACAATCCCATTTGCAACAGCTACAATAAAATAGCATAAACACCTAGGACTAAACTTAATAAAAGTGAGATAGCTACAATAAAAACTATACAGTACTGATAAAAGTGAAGTTAACATAATTGGAAAGATAGCCCATGAGGATTGGAAGAATACTGTTAAAATGACTGTACTATCCAAAGCAATCTACATTTTCAATGTAATCCATATCAAAATATTGATGACATTCTGCACATGAAAAGAAAAAGGCAGTCCTGAAATTCGTATGGAACAACAAAAGCAATCCTGAACAAAAGGACTAAAGTTGGAGGCATCACATTATCTGACTTCAAAATGCTCTATAAAATTACAATAACCAAAACAAACATGGTACTAGCATAAAAATGGACACATAGAACAATGGAACACCTGAAAGAACATAGAATCCAATCCACACATTTAGTCAATGGAGTTTCAAGAAAGTCACCAAGAACATACATTGAGAAAGGAAAATCTGGATAGCCCATATGCAAATGAATGAAACTAGACGCCTACTTCTCCCCATATACAAAAGTCATATCAAAACAGCTTAAATATTTGAATATAAGACCTAAAACCATGAAACTACTGTAAGAAAACATTAGGGAAACACTTCAGGACATTGCGCTGGGCAACTATTTATTGAGCAAGACCTCAAAAGCACAGGCAACCAAAGCAAATATAGAAACATGAGATTATATCAAGCTAGAAAGCTTCTGCACAGCAAAGAAAATAATCAATGAAGAAACAACCCATAGAATTGAAAAAAAAATTGCAAAGTATTCATCAGACAAGAGATTAATAACCACAGTATATAGGAACTCAAACTCAATAGCAGGAAACAACCCAATTAAGAACAGGCAAAAGTCTGATGGATTCATACAAATGGCCAGCAGATATATAAAAAAAAGTTCAACAACATTAATGGTCAGGGAAATGCAAATTAAAACCACAATGAGATCATCTGCCCAGTTAAAATGACTACTATGAAAAAATAAGAAAATAACAAATGCTGGCAAGGATGTGGAGAAAGGGGAAGGCTCACACATTGTTGGAGGAATGTAAATTAGTACAACCACTATGGAGAACAGTAAGGAGGTTCCTCAAGAAACTAAAAACGCAACTACCATATAACCAAACAATCCCAACGTTAGATATAGATCCAAAAGAAAGGAAATCAGAATATCAAAGAGATATCTGCACTCCCATGTTTATTGCTGCACTATTCAAAATAGCCAAGGCATGGATCAACCTAAGTGTCCATCAATAAGTAAAAAAAAAAAAAATTCAGTATATATACAAACACACAACTGAGTATTTTTCCTCTATGAAAAGTAATAAAATCCTGTCATTTGCAGCAACGTGGATGGAACTGAAAGACATTACATTATGTGAAATATGCCAGGCACACAAAGACATATCTCATGTTCTCACTCATACATGGGAACTAAAAATAAGCTGATTTCATAGATAGTGAATCCAACAGTGGTTTTGAGGCTGGAAAGAGTAGTAGGTAGAGGGATGAAGAGGGGTTGGCTAATGCGTAAGAGATTACAGCTCAATAGAAGGAGTAAGATCTAGTGTTCAGCTGCACAACAGGGCAACTATAGTTAACAATAGTTTACTGCACATTTCAAAATAGCTAGGAGAGAAAATTTAGAATGTTCCCAACATAAATTTTTGAGGAGATGGATCTCCCAGTTACCCAGATTTGATCATTACACATTGTATGCTGGTATCAAAATCACATATACCACACAAACATGTACAACTATCATATATCAATAAAAATGTTTAAAAAGCAATAAAGGGCATTTAACTTGGAAGAAATCCCATTGTCCTCCCTTTGCAGACAACATGACCTTATATATAGAGAAACTAAAAGACTCCACCAAAATACTCTTATAACTGATAAGCTGCAAGACACAAAATCAACATGCAAACATCAGCAGTGTTTCTAAACACCAATAATGAACTACCTGAAACAGAAATCAAGAGAGTAATCCCATTTACAATAGCTACCCACCCCCCCCAAAAAAAGACACCTAGGAATAAATTTAACCAAGGACGTGAAAGGCCTCTGCAATGAGAACCATAAAACATTGATAAAGGAAACTGAAGAGAACACAAATGGAAAGACATACCATGCTCATTAATTGGAAGAGTCAACATTGCTAAATGATACTATCCAAAGCAATCCCTATTAATGCAATGCAATCCCTATTAAAATACCAATGACATTCTTCAAGAAATAGAACAAATGATTCCAAAATTAATATGAAAATAAAAAAGACCCCAAATAGCCAAGGCAATACTGAGCAAAAAGAACAAAGCTGGAGGCATCACACTATCTAACTTCAAAATATCCTACCAGCTTATACTAACAAAAAAAACATGGAATTGGTCTAAAACCAGACACACAGAGCAATGGAACAGAACAGAAAACCCATCATTAAATCCACGTATTTATAGGCAACTGATTGTCGACAAAGGCACCAAGAACATACAGTGGGGAAAGGACACCTCTTTAATTATTTGTCATCACAAAGATGGATATCCACATGCAGAAGAATGAAACTAAACCCTTATCTGTCACCACACAGAAAAATCAACCAAAATTAATTAACTACTGTGAGCCTGGAAACTAGAATACTAAAAGAAAACATAGCAGAAACACTTCAGGACATTGGTCTAGGCAAAGATTTTATAGCTAAGAACACAAAAGCACAGGCAACAAAAACAAAAATAGACAAATGAGACTGTATTAAACCAAAATGCTTCTGCAGAGCAAAGGAAACACTCAACAGAGTGAAGAGAAAAACCTATAAAATGGCAGAAAGTATTTGCAAATTATGCATTCAAAAAGGAACTAATATCCAGAATATGCAAGGAACTCAACAGCAAAAATATCACAAATTTTCCAATTCAAAAGAGGGCAAAGGATCTAAATAGACATGTATCTAACACATATACAAAAAGCCAATAAAAATGCTTATCACCAACCATCAGGAAAATGCAAATCAAAACCAAAATGAGGTGTCATCTCACCCCAATTAGAATGACTATTACCAAAAAGACAAAAAAAAAAATAACAAATGCTGGCAAGGATGTGGAGAAAACGTACTCTCATACTAGGCTGGTGCAAAAGTAGTTATGGTTTTTGCCATTAAAAGTAATAGCTACCCACTCCCCAAAAAAGACACCTAGGAATAAATTTAACCGAGGAAGTGAAAGGCCTCTACAATGAGGCCACTGCCATTACTTTTAATGACAAAAACTGCAATTACTTTTGCACCCACCTAATAGTACAGTCATTATGGAAAACAGCATGAGGGGTTCTCAAAAAAACTAAAAATAGAACTACCATAAAATCTAGTCATTACAGTACTGGGTAGTTATTCAAAGGACAGAAAATCAATACATCAAAGGGATACCGGCAGCCCCATGTTTACTATAGCAGCACTATTCACAAAAACTAAGATAGGAAATCAGCCTATGTGCCCATCAATGGAAAAATGGATAAAGAAAATGTGGCATATATACACAATGGAATATTATTCAGCCATGAAAAAGAATGACATTCTGTCATTCATGGCAACATGGATGGGCCTAGAGGACACTATGTTAAGCAAAATGAGTCAGGAGCAGAAAGATAAAATGCTCCGTGTTCTCACTCCTATGTGGGAACAAAATAAATAGATCTCATGGAAGTAGAGAGCAGAACTGTGGGTACGAGAGGCTAAGAAGGTGGGGAGAGGATGGTTAATGAACACAAACTTAGGAGGAACGAATCTGCTCATCTGCAGCACTGCAGGGGAGATACGGTTCACTTTAATTTATTGTATATTCTCCAAATGCTAAAAGAAGATGTTGAATGTTCACAACACAAAGAAATGATAAATATATGAGGTGACATGCTAATCACCCTGATACGATACTACACATAGTATACACATAATTATCACTGTCTCCCACAAATATGTGCAAGCATTATGTGTCAACTAAAAACAAAAGGAAAAAACTACAGGGATAAAAAACAGATCGGTGGTTATCAGGGGTTGGGGTAGGGGTGGCAGGGTTGACTATAAAGGGACATGGGGGCACTTTTTTGGGAAATGAAACCATTCTGTATCTTGATTTTGATGGCAGTTTCATGACTGCATTTGTTGAAATCATAGAACTGTCTCACTAAGTAGGGTAAATTTTTTGCATGTAAATTGTACCTCAACAAACCATTTTATTTTAAAAAAACATTTTTAAAGAAATAAACTAGGTAAAATTTGGTATATGTTGTTTACTGAGCAGTAACTTGTCAATCATAATGTAATTCAACCTGCTTACTACATATGTTCTACTAGCACTCTGTCCTTCACCCATCCTGTTAATTACATGTTTAATGCCTACATTCCCACGTGACTCTAAACTCCATAGATCCTTGCCTTTGGTTAAATCTCAGCTTGGTGGGTGACAAAAGTTCCAGGAAACAAAATATATGCAGTTTGATGAGTTACCTTATGTATCTGTTTCCTACCATGTACTGAGGGTCATTAATTTTGGGTTTATGAAACCAAGGCAGAGTTCTCTGAAGATCATTGAGATTTTGCCATGGAGGTGTTTCAATCTGGTTCCATACTACGTACCTTGTCCTGGGTTTGGCAGCGGAAACAGTCACATTCAAAGCAGTACTGGTCCCTCAGCTGCTTCCGGCGCTCCTCGCTGGTCATCAGCACATCCAGGTAGCAGATGGTGAGCTGTGCAGGCCAGAGACAGGGAAGCGTTGACACATCTGCTGTGCTCATTTCTTTAACAAATGGTTATTATTATTGCTAATTATTGGAGTAAAACTTGTTTTTATTATAAACCAGAAATGTAAGAGAGAAGGTACCACTCAGTTTCTCTACCCAAATAATCACATGTAAATTTTTAATCTACTTCCCTTCAGTCTTTGTTATGTGGTAAGTACATATGGATCATATATTTAAAGAATGGGGCTTATGACCTCTACCCACTTTTGTATGTTACTTTTTTTTTCACTACAGTAAAATATCAAAAGCTGCTGTATGTTTGGTATTACTAAGGTTTGCTAATAAATTCTATAACCATTAGCAATCAGAGAAGTCAAATTAATCCTGGCAACCAAAAGGGTGGCAGATGATACAGCCAGATTGCTCTTAAATTCTAACCAATTCTATAGCTGCCTCATGGAATTTAAGGTCATCCAAATTTGGTATCTTTGAAATGAGAAAACAGTTCTCTTACTTGTAACTAGGTTTTTAAAAAAAGGTAGAATAATTTCCCAATAGGGGAGAGTTTAACTTGAGAGTAGCAGCACTGACGGAAGCATTGAAACTGACTGCCTTACTGCCTTTCAGAGAAACACCCCTGCCTCAGATGGTGGCGGGTTATGAATAAGAGGATTTATTTAAAGGACTCCTCAGACACTCTCTAATGCTGAGTTCCCTTTAAGTCACTGGTCTTTAGGCAACATTATAATGCTTAAAGCATTTTGCACTTGATTAGATCTCTTATGAAAGTCTAATTCAAAATCCAGAAAACAGAATGCTTGATCTTCCCGTCAACCTGTTCCATCTCGGCTGGAACATTCCCACTCTCAGTTGACAGTGACTCATCTTTTGTCTTATCCAAGTTGAAGCCTCAGAGTTATCCTTGACTTCGCTCTTTCCTTTACACCTACCATCCAATCCACCAGGAAATTCTGCGGCCTCTACCTTAAAAATCACCCTGAATCAACCACTTTTTACCTTTTCCAATGCTACCACCCTGGTCTGAGCCATCATTACCTCTTACCTGGAAAAGGTAACAGCCTCACAGCTGGTCTCCCTGATGCTTTCTCTGGGCCCCTGCACTCCACCCCCTAGCCAGAGTGGTTCACTTAAAATATGTCAGATGATATGTTCTGTTTGAAACGTCACAACGCTTCCCCACTCTGCCTGAGTACAGGTCAGGTCCTTCTAACTCCCCAAGTGCAACTCAAAGTAGGCGCCCTGCATTGGTGCTAGTGCACACTGAGGGTTACCAGTCCATGATGAAATGAGTAAAGAAACCAAGTCAATATTGAGAAATGTTTTTTACTAATTTGGTAAGGGTAATTTTAGGTGACTCTAACAACAAAACACTGGGCTTTTTTACTTTTTTTTTTTTTATAAGACAGGGTCTCACTCTGCCACCAAGGCGGGTATGCAGTGGCATGATCACAACTCACTGCAGCCTCAACCTCCTGGACTCGGGTGATCCCCCCACTCAGCTTCAGGCGTGCACTACCACACTGGCTAATTTTCTGTCTTTCTTGTAGAGATGGAGGTTTCGCCATGTTACCCAGGATGGTCTTGAACTCCTGGGCTCAAGCAATCCTCCCTCCTTGACTTCCCATGGGATTAGAGGTATGAGCCACTGCACCCCAGCCATTTTATTTTACGTTCTCTAAATTGTATTTTTCTAATATTTTCACTAGATTTTATAAAAACACTGGTTTGTAACAGACTAGGAAGGAAAAGAAACACTGGTCCTTCGTCGTAGGTGGTTAGAAAAGCAATGGCTTCACATAATCCCACCTGTTCCCTCTCATTTCCCACCTCCCTTGTTGCTGCTCCACCAGGCTGGCCTCCTGTCTGGCTCCACACACACTCCTACCGCAAGGCCCGTGCACTGGCTGTTCCCTCTGCCCTTCCACCCTGTCTACTGTGTCAACCTCATCGCCTTTGAGTTTCAGTCAAATCCCACTTTCTCATTCAGGTCTAACCTCAATGCCCTATTAAAGGTAACAACCCAATTCCCTTCCCTTCTCTAGTTTTTTATTTTCCTGTATCATGTATCAGTTTGTACCATACTGTATAAATTACTTCTTTGCTTTGAAAAGTAGAAAGTAATCATAGGGGTATGTGTGGTGGGGGAAGAAGTGAAGACTTTAGGAGAGCAAGAAGGCAGGATTATCCACTGAAGGAGAAGCAAAAAACGCCCCAGAGCAAAAAAACTCCATGTGGTTTTTCTTATACTTAAAGCATCTCAGGTCTACAAAGCATGATCTTACTTGTTTGAAATCATGGTGGGGCAAAGGCGGCCATCCTCTCTGGCAGACAACGAAGCTTTGGGAAGGACTCTCTCAAGCTGTCGGGGTGATGGTGGATGGCTGGGCTGGCCAGCCAGATCTGTGAAATCCACCATGGCCATCACCATCACCATCACCAAGGGGACAGGAGCCACAGCCTGATCTGGCTGGCTGGCTCTCCAGAGATTCTTCACATTAGTCAACTATAACACGCTGCTCCATAAACAGAAACGAGAGTATCTGCCCCGAAGAGATGCAGATGATGATGTTACTGAGTATCTACTGTTTGTGGCGAGGCGGCATTGCACAGTAAAAATTAGCAAAGGTCTTGGGTTCAGGTACTACTGAAGACTGCACCCAGATCTCTTGATTTAAGTCTGATGCCCTTTTTCCTTTAACATGGCTACTTCTCATACTTGGCGGGGAGAGAGGGCTGCAGAAGAAGCTGGCGTCTCTTAAGGCATTTCCGTAGTACCCTCAAACCTAAAATACTAACACCTGTGTTAGGGAATGTTCGGTGGCAACTGAGGTCCTTCAGCTGAGACAACAGCCACTTTTTGATTTTCTCCATGTTTCTCTTGCTTCATGATCTGAAGCCAGGGTTGCCTCTGAGGCACAGAGGGTCACCACGCCAGGCAAGTTCCTCTTGTTTCTAATGAACGCTATGTTCCAAATTCCAAATAACCTATTTCCAAGCACACTTTTTGAAACAGCCTATGAGTTAGTCTGGGACAGTAGATACATTCATCTTATCCTAGCAGGCTCTGTGGGTCCCAGTGTCCTTATAGGAGATGAGGGAGCAAATGAGTCCATCCCTATGTCCCCTCTTGGGTTAACTCTAGGACGCTAATTCTGAACCCAGTCCAATGGCTCTTAGTCATCAACTCCCATTATCCGAGCAGGTAAATGGACAGTAGTTATTGGGTGATTACAGTATGCCCAGTGTGAAGCCACTAACTCCAGGGCCTGTCACACCAGAAAAAAATGTGCTTGACTAACCCAAGACTTTATTACAAGGGCCAAAACTCATTAGTGATCTTTTCAGGCAGTGAATGGGCAACAGGAGACTAGTTATTTCATTTAACCCCAATAAACTGACTCTTAAAGCCTCCCTCGGCATACTGTAACTGCCTGAACGACTACCTGGACTATGAGATGGCTTTCTAACCGGCTTCCCCGCCGCCTTCGGTGTACCTTTCATCTTCTAAACTGCTTTGAGAGGGATCTTCCTAAAACCCCCATGTGTTCACGTCATTTCTCTACATGAAAACTTTCGGCCGGGCGCGGTGGCTCAAGCCTGTAATCCCAGCACTTTGGGAGGCCGAGACGGGCGGATCACGAAGTCAGGAAATCGAGACCATCCTGGCTAACCCGATGAAACCCCGTCTCTACTAAAAATATACAAAAAACTAGCCGGGCGAGGTGGCGGGCGCCTGTAGTCCCAGCTACTTGGGAGGCTGAGGCAGGAGAATGGTGTAAACTCGGGAGGCGGAGCTTGCAGTGAGCTGAGATCCGGCCACTGCACTCCAGCCTGGGCGACAGAGCCAGACTCCATCTCAAAAAAAAAAAAAAAAGAAAACTTTCGACGGTTTCTCACTGCCTATGAATAAAGGCACACAAGGCTTTCCCTCAGCTGATTTTCTGTCTGCCTTTCTGGTCTCCGTGTCTCTCCCCGAACCCCAGCCTGTCACAGTTATGTACATTGCTAGACCTCTGAAACAATGAACACCATGCCAACACGTGTCTGGGCATCACTGCCTAAGCGAGTCTCTCCTCCACACTCAGCTCACTGAGAGCCTCTCATCCTCCAGGCTGGCTTCAAATACACCTCCTTCCTATGGTGACTGCCCCATCACCTCAGAGAAAGTGGCCCATTTTTGTGCTTCTTATATGCCGATAAAGTCTGCAGAGTATCTGGTTATCAATTGTGAAGGACTTAATGGCAAAAATATTTTATTCTTATTTTTGGAAACAAACAGCCAATTACTAACTGGTAATGACAGCTAAAAGCATGTTATTAGCCAAAGATAAAAACCTTTATTAAAGACTCATTGAGTCACCAGTTGTAACGGAATATCTGCTCAGTAAATGCAGGGCTCATTTAGAGGGAACATATATATGAAACTTGGCCATTGATCAGTAGATACCTGAATGGCACTGAACAAAAGTGTATTAAAATATTAATGCCATTGACCACTACTTTGCCATTTTCGTGCAGCTCTTATAGAAAATGCAGTAATTCATTTCTAACATTAGAGTAATATAATGAAGGAGATTTTCTAGATCTTGAATACATAGTTTACATTAAAATCTCAAGACAAAATGAACTCCTTTTCCATGAAACCATCTTTTCATTGTCTACAACTGAGTGGATAAGATAAGTAAGTTAAGGCCAGGCGCCAAGCCTCACACCTGTAATCCCAGCACTTTGGGAGGCCAAGGCGGAGGCATCATGAGGTCAGGAGATGGAGACCATCCTGGCTAACACGGTGAAACCCCGTCTCTACTAAAAATACAAAAAATTAGCCAGGCATGGTGGCGGATGCCTGTAGTCCCAGCTACTCGGGAGGCTGGGGCAGGAGAACGGCATGAACCCGGGAGGTGGAGCTTGCAGTGAGCCGAGATTGCGCCACCCACTCCAGCCTGGGCGACAGAGCGAGACTCCATCTCCAAAAAGAAGAAGAA